TCATTCCCTGCAGGTTAAATCATGGTCAGGCATTCCTCCTCCTTTCCATCTCACTCTTTCAGTCAACCACATTTATGCACATTTCTACGGAAAGACTGATATGAATCTTATATGCTAATATAACATCACAGTGGAAAATGTGCAAAAGGTCTGTGAGACTGTGGAAGGGAGGGAGGGAGTAACAGAGGTCCTACCTGCATATATACTGCAGCGTTAGCCGTATTATTGATACAGACATTCATCCCATAATGCTCACTTACCTCTACTCATAACTAAGACCCAAAGAGTGAGTTACTCCTGGATTAGTGGCATTGTCTTGCAGATTCATGTGTTTAAAATATTTATTTATTTATTTATTTATTTATTTATTATTTTATTAAAACATTTCTATGCTGCCCCTTGCCGAAGCCTTGGGGCGGCTCACAGCACAAAATAAAATACAATAAAATACAAAAATAACAATATAAAATTAGCAATATAAAAGAAGTCGCCCTGGCCAGATAAATAAGCAAATATTGTTAACAATTAAAATGACGTTTAAATAAAAAGGTCTTCGCCTGGCGCCGAAAAACAAATAACGACAGCACCAGGTGGACCTCTCTGGGGAGTGCATTCCATAGATTGGGTGCCACCGCAGAGAAAGCCCTCCTCCGAGTACCTAACCTCCTAATTTCTTTCACAGAGGGTTCCCGGAGAAGGGCTTCTCCCGCAGATCTCAAGGGGCGGCCGGGCATATATGGATGTAAGCGATCCTTCAGGTAACCAGGACCCAAGCTGTTTAGGGCTTTATAGGTCATCACCAACAGCTTGAATTGGGCCCGGACTTCAATGGGAAGCCAGTGAAGCTGACGAAGGACTGGAGTCATGTGAACATAACGCCCAGTCCCCGTCAGCAGCCTGGCAGCTCTATTTTGAACCAACTGAAGTATCCAGACCGTCTTCAAGGGTAGCCCCACATAAAGTGCGTTACAGAAGTCAAGGCGGGAAGCCACCAGCGCGTGTGTCACTGTTGCCAGGCAGTCGTACTCCAGGTAGGGGCACAGCTGATTAATCAGCCGAAGCTGAAGGAAAGCGCTCCTCACCACTCCGGGTCGAGGAGCACTCCTAAGCTGCAGACCTTGTCCCTAAGAGGGAGTGCAACCCCATTCAGGACCAGGTCAAATCCACCCTCTCCGAAGCCCAATCCGCCAACCAACAGGACCTCCGTCTTGTCTGGATTGAGCTTCAGTTTATTGGCCCTCATCCAGCCCATTGCCTCGACCAGGCACCAGTTCAGCACAGCCACTGACTCACCTGGATTGGTGGAAAATGAGAGGTAGAGCTGGGTATCATCACCGTACTGATGATTCCGCAGCCCACACCTCCTGATGACCTCTCCCAGCGGTTTCATGTAGATGTTAAATAGCAAAGGGGAGAATATGGACCCCTGCGGTACTCCATGGCATAGCTGCCATGGCGCAGAGCCATAGTCCCCCAGCACCACCTTCTGGAATTGGCTGTTGAGATAGGAGCGGAACCACTGCAAAGCAGTGCCTCCAACCCCCAATCCCACTAGCCTATCCAGAAGGATACCATGGTCGATGGTATCGAAAGCCGCTGAGAGGTCCAGGAGAACCAACAGGGACGCACTCCCCCTGTCCTTCTCCCTGCACAGGTCATCGTACAGTGTGACCAAGGCAGATTCAGTACCGTACCCGGGTCTGAAGCAGGACTGAAATGGGTCTAGATAATCAGTTTCATCCAAGAGTGCTTGGAGTTGTCCCACCACCACCTGCTCTAACACCTTGCCCAGAAACGGGATGTTGGCCACAGGTCTATAGTTAGTGGCCATCTCTGGATCCAGTGACGCTTTCTTCAGGACCGGTCGGACTACCACCTCCTTTAAAGGGGCAGGCGCCCGACCCTCCCTCAGAGAAGCGTTAAGCACTTCCAAGATCCAGGTCCCAATCCCGTGCTTGGAATCATTTATTAACCAAGACGGGCAAGGGTCCAATAGGCAAGTGGTGGGACGTACTCGTCCAAGCACCTTGTCCACATCATCGGGCTGCAATAACTGAAATTCATCCAATAATTCTGGACCAGACGGCAGCATTGGTGTCTCCCCAGAAACCTCTGATTCATTAGTGGTGTCCAGCTCGTGACGAATCTGAGCGATTTTCTCCCTGAAATGCCTGGCAAAGTCATCACAGCGGGCCTTTGAGGGTGGAACTGGAGCTTCCTTAGGACCCGGGCAAACCAGGCCTTGCACCACTCGAAAAAGCTCCGCCGGACGGCATTGTGAGGAGGCAATGGAAGCGGAAAAAAACATCCTTGCCAAATCTGTAATCTATATTGCAAAACATGGATTTATGAAGCAAAACAAAATGTGCTTCATAAATGGTGCTTTGTCATTCCTCAGAGATGGTTTCATTT